CCTGAGTGTTAGCCTGAGTGTTAACCTGAGTGTTAGCCTGAGTGTTAGCCTGAGTCTTAGCCTGAGTGTTAGCCTGAGTGTTAACCTGAGTGTACAGATTAAGACATAACTAACGTCCATCTCTCTTCCAGACCTGCACCTGAAGGTCTCCATGGTAACCAGCAGACTGGGACATATCAAAGACAGAGTCCGTAACTCGAGCCTCCTGCTCCGTCAGCCAATCAGAGAGCTGCAGAGCCTCTCTAACGGTCAGAAGTTTCACACGGTGCCTCCTTCAATACGACAGGATGATGTTTTGATTGTTGACTGATTTTTTTCTTCCATCAGGTTCATCTGTGTCACTGCAGCAGGCTCAGCTTCAGACTGCAGCAGCACACTCTGGTCTGCAGGTGGCACTGCAGCAGCTGGAAAGACTCAAAGATCAGCTGCAGGATTCTTCTTCTGTGGTGGAAAATACAGTTAAAACAGTGACAGAGACCAACCAGCTGGTGGCGCACACAGACACTGCAGGTCCGTCAAAAAAGTCTAATGAGTTAAATATTCAAAACAGCACTCTTGTAGTACTGACTCCTCCCATTTTATTTGTCTTCAGCCAATGAGGCGCAGCGTAAGCTTGAGGAGGCAGAGCATCGTACGGAGCATCTAATGGAACGCATTAAGCCACTGAGCATTCTGGGAGAAACACTGAGCCGGAATCTGTCCGACATCAGAGAGCTGATCGATCAGGCTCGTCGACAGGCTGCATCGGTACATGAACACAGACACGTGATTCCTCTGAGATCCAGTACAACTACATCCTCACTATTCACTACTACTGACAACACATGATGATGATGATGATGATGATGATGGTTTTGATGATGTCATCAGATAAAGGTGGCGGTGCAGGCGGACAGAGACTGTGTTCGATCCTACAAACCTCAGACTGACTCCAGTAACTTCAACACCCTGAGTCTGATCCTGAAGACGACGAGTAAAGACAACCTGCTCTTCTACCTGGGCAGCGTCACCACGGTAACACACACACACACACACACACACACACACGTTATCTTCATTGAAGATACAACTGTCATTATTCCATCTCAGTTTCTGAACTGGACTGTTTGAATGTAACGTGATCCTGTGAACGTCCTCGTGTGCTCAGGTGGACTACCTCGCTGTAGAGATGCATGATGGGAAGGTTTCTCTGTTGTGGGATTTGGGGTCAGGAACTAACACACTGGAGTTTCCTGGACTCGACATTACCAACAACAAGTGGACAAGAATCAATGCTACACGGTAACTGCACGCAAACCACACGCCAGCTACACGCCAACGCACTGATCACACGATCACCAAGTATTACATCATCAATGATCGTGTGTCTGAAGAAGCAGATGAATTAATAACTGGGTTACAACAGTTAGTTCAGCTCTTAGTCAGGACTGGTTCATTTAATTTTAGGAATAAAACTCTTCCTTTGACTCAACATGAGATGCTGCACCCTCGGTCTGAAACCGAACTTTATCCATTAAATACTGATCTCAAGGAAACGTCAGGTATTTAAATGTTATTGTTTAATGTAACTCTTTGATTTTATTGCTCAACATCCCTCCAACAGTTATAAAAACTTCAGTGTCTTGTTTATCTAACAAAATAAAATATATCATGTATATGTATATAACTCTTTACCCAGTGGTTACATGTTTTCTTTCAGGTTTCCAGGCGGATTTTGTCATGTAATGTTTAATGTCATGTGATGATGTCATCAGGTTTGGGGCGCAGGTTTCTCTGTCTGTCCATCAGCTGGATTCGGAGGCGGCTCTGTTGCCCGCGGTAACAGGTCGGTCAGTGGGATCGACGCGTGTTTTAGACATCGACAGAAACACAGTGATTCATATCGGAGGCCTGGGAGCTCACACTCAGGTACCATGTGTGAAGAAGTAATCATGTGTGTGAACATGTGTGTGGAGATGAACATGTGGTAACTGTGTATGTGTGATGTCAGAGCCCCGCAGCGCTGAGGTCATCGACCTTTCAGGGCTGTTTCGGCGAAGCTTTGCTCAACGAGAGAAACATCGGACTGTGGAACTACGACAGCAGAGAAGGAGCATGTGGAGGCTGCTTCAGCAGGTGAAACACAGAGGACACACATGCAACACATGTATGATCAACACATGTATGATCAACAGAACTCTCTCACTCTCTCTCTCTCTCAGTCCTCAGGCGGAGGAGACGTCCTTCCACTTTGATGGATCTGGATTCTCATTGGTCCAGAAATCTCTGCGTGCGACGTCCACGTCAATCGTGTTTCAGTTTAAAACACTGTCGCCAGGCGGATTACTGCTCTACCTCGCTTCTAACAACACGGTACGACACAGTCACAGCTTTTATCCAAGCTCTTATTGTGAAAAGAAGCATAGCCATGACATCCTTCCTGTCTCCTGCAGAGAGACTTCCTGTCCATTGAGCTGGTTGAGGGGCGTGTCCGTCTAACCTTTGATCTTGGTTCAGGCGTTCTTATCCTGGCGTCCAACAGGAAGTACAACAGGGGGGTGTGGTACAAGATCACGCTGCAGAGGAACAAACGCAAAGGTGCGAATGCGTGTTGCTATGACATCATTGAAGACTTGTGTGTGTGTGTTGGGGGGGGGGCGGTGTTTCTCAGGCTGTTTCTCACAGTTACGTGGTGCATGCAGGTTACCTGTCAATCATGGCTGCAGACCAATCATCAGAGAAGGAAGTATTGGAGGCGGAGGCTCCGGGGATAGCCTCTGACCTGAACCGCTCCGACCTCGACCCTATCTACATCGGAGGACTTCCTGCCTCCAGACCAATTAGGTGAGTTTGTGGTTTCCTGTGTCCCGCCCCTTAAGGTTTTGACCTGAAATCAGTATCTGAAATGACATCATCACAGATTAACCAAACAAACTCATTTAATACTTTATTAATGAGGATTGTAGAAAAATATTATAAATAGAATATCATTAATGATAATTACATTTTTATTATTTAATCACATGATCTGTACAGATTCAAACTGTGATGATCGTTATAAATAAAACACCAGAGAGACGAGATGCAAGGTGATGATGTCACCAGGTGAGGACAAGGCGTGATCACAGGATAGGCGTGTCTTAACTCACCTGTCTGTCTTTGTATGGTTGCTAGGCGACAGGTGGTCTCCAGGTCGTACGTCGGCTGCATAAAGAACGTGGAGATCGCTCGCTCCAACTTCGACCTGCTGAGAGACGCATTTGGCGTCAGGAAGGGCTGCGTGCTCGAGGTAACACACAGATGCAGAACACTCAGTAAATACTGTTCACACAGGTTAGGTCATCAGTTCAGGTGACTGAGCCCTGATTGGTCACATTCATTGATTATCTCTCAGGCGGTGCAGAGTGTGTCGGTTCTGTCCGGAGGCTTCGTTCAGATCTCTCCTACATCATTTGGTCAAGAGGCGGAGCTTCTATTCTCCTTCTCCTCCAACAACCAATCAGGAGTCCTGCTGGCTGCTCTCAGTGATGATCGCTTGCCCCGACAGGTGAGGTCACATGACACATGTATGTGTGGACGTATTCACCATCATGTAATATTGACGTGTGTGTGTGTGTGTGTGCCCGCAGTACTTCCTGTGTGCCCACCTTGTCTTAGGCACCTTGGAGGCAGAGCTTGGTGAAGTGGGCGGGGTCACCCGGAAGGTGACAGTGATGAAACCTGATGGATCATTTGGTGACGGAGAAAAACACTCTGTGATTATCACCATCAACAGGAAGTACGTGTTACCATAGAAACACATACCTGCCCCACCTGACACACCTGTCTCACCCGACACCTGTCTCACCTTTCTGTCCTCAGGTCTCTGTCTGTGCAAGTGGACGAAGATCACCTGAAGTCAGTCCCTCTGTTGCCAGGCGGATTTCCTCGTCTGTCTCCTGCCTCCTTCTTCATTGGTGGGTTGCCCTCAGCCGAGGAGTCCCGTCTACCAATCAGATTACAAGAATTATCCAGGTCGTTCAGAGGCTGTATCCAACACCTGGTGGTGGGCGGAGCGTAAGTCTACCACACACACACACACACACACACACACACACACACACACACACACACACACACATAACTTCCTGTGTCTCTGATTGGTGAACTGTTTTTGTTTCGTAGACTTGTCGACCTATCAGGAGCAGTGAGGTATGAGGGGGTGGAGCTTGACAGCTGTGTCTTGGAGGAGAGGGTTGGGGCGGTGCTTCCTGATGACCAGGATATAGAACCAACTCCAGACCCCACCCACATATATGTAGCCACGCCTACATATCTGAGTGCCCTGACACCCGGAGCGCTCACGGTAATCAATATGATTATTACTCATGACTAATAATCACCATGTTTATGTTTGACTGTTGATCATTCACATTACTGGTTTCTAAATAGACAACTTACCAATATTCACTTTATTGATTAATTTTTAATTTGATCAATTCAACTCTACTCTTCAAGTCTTCAGTTCTTCTTAAAGCTTTATTCATCAATATGTTATTATGGAGTATTCAGGGTTGTCTGTCTGTCATTGATTAGGTAATAACTAATGATACTTATTGATAATCAGTGAGTGATTATCGATATTGGTTACTATGTGTTAACGATAACTGATTATTGATTTCTGTGTGACGCAGTGTGTGTCAGAGGCTGAGCCAAGTTTCCTGTCGTCAGCCACTCAGTTTGGTTTGTCCAGACACAGTCACATGACCTTCGTCATCAACCCCAACACCGTGAGGAAGAGGTGAGTCTCAATGACAACCAGGGGGCGGGGCTCTGATTGATTTATCTCTCTATTGATAAATCCCTGACTGTGTGTGTCTCCTCTCTTCGTCCACAGCGTCTCTGTGAGGTTGTCAGTGCGGAGCCGGGCTGCCAGCGGTTTGATCGTTCTGCTCTCGGATTCCAAACACACAGACTTCATCGTTGTCAGACTGATGGGAGGGAGACTGATGATGTCAGCTGACCTGGGAAAAGGCCCCGCCTCCATCACATCGTCTGTTGCCATTAACGACGGAGACTGGCACACTGTGCGTTCAGAACATCACATGAACACACACGTGCACACATGAAACTGTGACGGTCACAAAAGAACCAACGCCACTAAATGTCCTTATAAGGCGTTCCTGTTTGTTTAACAACAGAAACAGCATGTTGACATCACAGGTGATGACCATGTTTGTTGATCATGTTTAAAAAATATTATCATGTTTACCTCCGTCTCTCAGGTGAGTGCTGAGGTCAGCCGGCGCTCAGTGTCGGTGTCAGTCGATGGTTTGAGTCCGGACTCTGTGACAGTTAAAGGAAACCAGCTGGACGTGGACAACACGCTGTACCTGGGAGGATTACCACACACATACACCAGCAGGAGGATCAACGTACGTCAACAAATATTTACATTTTAATATCGAAAGACATTTTATCAGAACATTAAATGTAACCTGGACTCAGATTTCCATTCATCTAATAAATGATCGATCAATGGGCGTGATTGGAGTGAGTTGTAGATAGTGAGTTCACTTATTCAATTATCGGCAGAGTTAAGTTTCTGATCAACGTAAAAACTGACGAATGATCAAATTCCTGCAGGTCGCAGCTGCAAACGTAAACATGTAACATGTGTACAACATGTATGTAACATATACAACATATACAATATACATAACTGTTTCCACCTATCTGTCCCTCAGGTCAGCAGCAGTTTACCAGGTTGCATTCGCTCGGTCAGTCTGAACGGAGCCATGTTGGATCTGTCCAAACCAGCCTCACAGCATGATGTCACTTCCTGTTTCACTAAAGACCAGACAGGAAGTTACTTTAATGGCAGCGGCTACGCCATCCTCAGTAAGTCCACGAAGGAACACCTGATTTCTTGTCGTCATGTGTGATCAGACTGTTAACAGGTGTGTGTCTGTCTGTGTGTGCAGTGCATGATGGGTATAAAGTTGGTTCGGATGTGTCAGTATCTCTTGAGTTTCGAACGAGCCAATCAGAAGGAGCATTTCTGGGAATCAGCAGTGCAAAGGTCGACGCCATTGGACTGGAGATGGTGAACGGACAGGTGAGTGCACACTTACCCGGGTGTTTGTCTACAGACAGATGAAGAGTCACTGGTCTGTTGACCTTGGCGCCAGCTGCTGACCATAAAGCCACACCCCCGACCAAAAAGAAAAATTACAAACCATGTCACATAGTGAAGTTCACGCCTCCTCCAACAACCAGTCTCGTAATCTTCTCAATGAATGTTCGTCCTTGATAAATAAATAAATGTTGTTCTTATTATCCTTGTCACAATGACTTTTGTTGATTCTTCTAAGGTGGTGTTTAACGTAAATAACGGGGCGGGACGAGTGTCCGTGCGTTCGATTGGTCAGGTGTTGTGTGATGGACAGTGGCACCGCCTGCTGGCCAGAAAAAACAAACACAGCCTGAGTCTGAATGTAGATGGGCGGAGTTACACAACCCCTAACCCCTACCCACAATCCACCTCAGCAGAGACGAACAACCCCGTCTACGTGGGAGGGTATCCAGGTGAGACGCTCCGACCTGTCTGTCTCTGACCTGTCTGTCTCTCTGTGACGTCTGTCTGTCTCTGACCTGTCTGTCTCTGACCTGTCTGTCTGTCTCTGACCTGTCTGTCTCTGACCTGTCTGTCTGTCTCTGACCTGTCTGTGTCTGACCTGTCTGTCTCTGACCTGTCTGTCTCTGACCTGTCTGTCTCTGACCTGTCTGTCTCTCTGTGACGTCTGTCTCTCTGTGACGTCTGTCTGTCTCTCTGTGACGTCTGTCTGTCTCTGACCTGTCTGTGTCTGACCTGTCTGTCTCTGACCTGTCTGTCTCTCTTACAGTGGGAGTGAGACAGAACTGCCTGTCGAGCAGCTCCAGGTTCAGAGGATGTCTCAGGAACCTGCAGCTCATCAAGTCTCACCTGAGCAGCGCTCTCGACCTGAGCTCCGCCCACTTCCTGTTGGGTGTCACACCTAACTCGTGTCCTGTTGTTTAGTGAAGCGGTGCTTGGCTGTGATTGGTTCATAGTCTGATCATTGATCTTTACATTAAAACAGTTTTTAGAGGCTGATTCTTTTTATCTCTCTGTTTCTGTAACTTTGAATCAATAAAGTTTTTATTAAATTGTCCAATTTTTATTCCCAGTTTTCACACACTCAAACTTTAAACTAGTTTCTATAAAACTGAATTATGAAATAACTCGACGTGATGAAGCAAAAGATTGTTAGATTGATTATAACGGATTTTGATTTTGTTTTAATAATTAACGTTATATGTTTAAAAAAAGACAACGTCTGTTTTTTTATTTTCCTTAAATTTTATTTTTGTTTTGTGGATGAAGAGTTTTTATCATAAAGTAAAACATGATGTTTAATCTACAGTAGGGGGGGTCAATGTGTGTGTGTGGGGGGGGGAGTGGTTAGTCTGTAACATGACACAAAGGGGAGGGGTTAGTCTGTAACGTGACACCAGGGGGAGTGGTTAGTCTGTAACATGACACAAAGGGGAGGGGTTAGTCTGTAACGTGACACCAGGGGGAGTGGTTAGTCTGTAACATGACACCAGGGGGAGTGGTTAGTCTGTAACGTGACACCAGGGGGAGTGGTGAGTGTGAAATACCAATAAATAACATAATAAATAAACATGACAGAAATCATTCGGAACAGGGGTGTCATAATGGCATATTGCTGTTGCATTTTGGGTAAATACAGTACTGAATTTAGTTGCAAAACAGTGAGCGGTTATAAAGCTAGCTTTCATGCTATGTTACATTTCAGACAGGAAACAGTTGGCATCAGACTGTCAGAATAAAAGATCAAGTTCCTTGCAGGTGAGACATGTAACAGCCTGCTGATCTTCCATCGTCCAATCAGGAGCAAACATTCCCATCAGGGGTCTGCTTTAACCTGTCAGAGGTGTGTGTGGGCGGGGCTAATTAGAAGTAAATGGAGCAGGTTGTCTGGTTGCCATAGGAATGTGCTGATGGCAACACAGCAGCGCCCCCTTGTGCCTCTCATGGGCTCTGTTTTATCATAACTGTGAAATTATCAACTAAATCTAACCATACTAGCTAATGCTTATGCTAACTGACGCTAACTCAGCCACCAGTAAGGCTGAGTGTGTGTGTGTGTGTGTGTGTGTTGCTGCTGCAAACAGTGCTTCTGGACTACATCTCCCATAATGCAGCAGAGGCCTCAGGAATCAGTCCTGAAAGAGAAACAGATGCAGCCGATGAAAACATCTTTGTTGGTCATCACATTCACAGAGTCAAACTGAGTGTGGCCACCAGAGGGAGCAATATTTCCTCATCAGTTTAGCTATGAGCAGCCTGGAGAAATGCATGCCCATGCTCATTAGCATGTTAGCTTAGCACAGCTTGTTTAAAAGCCTGGCCCTGAATGTTAGCATAGTGTTGCATGTTAATGTAAACAGTGTGAACCTGACTTCAGAGACCACTGATTTTACAGTTGAAATAATAGCGGTTAATGCTAGCACAGCTTGTTAGCATAGCACTGATGGAGGCATGCCAGCATAGCATGTTAGCATAGCACTGATGGAAGTTGCAGGGGGCATCATATGTCAACAGTGTTACAGCCCCTTAGGTGATAATGGGATTTTCAACATTGGATAATATGTTGACTTCAGCTAATAATGATCAGCTACATTGATTGATTGATGGATTTGTAGTCCAATCAGATCGTTATGTTGTTCTTGCAGGTCTTCCTGTCCTGTGTGGTTCCTCCCAAATATTTGATCCAATCAGGGCGTAGAGCTCAACAATTTGGTTCCTGAAGATCTCGTTTATTTGAGATTGTGATTACCAGCCAGCGGGTGAGATGACCACAAACTACGAGATTGTGAAAAAATGTTAGATTCTCCAGTAGAAGCCTCGAGTCCGTAAGAGATCAACAATCCTCAGTGTCATAGCTACGTCTGCGATTGGTGGAGCTCACTGTTACCATGGAGATGTTTACTACAGCCGGCCGTGATTGGGTGGTTCAGTGTTGACTCAGAGTGACTCATGGTTTTTCTGGAAGTTGGAAGCTGGAAGTTGTAGGATCACTCACAATGGATTATGGGATGTGAAGTTCCCTCACTCTTCAAATAATTACAGACAGTCTTGTATCTTTGGCCTTTTTTGCATTTTTCAATATTTTCTTTTTGCTCCGAATCAAATTATGTCCAAATCTTTTTGAAATGATTTTTGGAAACGGCAACAGAAACCATTAACGAGGAGGTTACTTCCTGAACCAGAGACGTCGTAAAAGGAGTCGCTCTATTTGCTGTATGTGTGTTTTTCTTGGAGCCGATGAAATGTGAGCTCCTGATGATATTCTGTTGTAACACAAATAGAATGGAAAGAATGCTGCCATGCACCAATCAGCCAATCAGCATCCACCTGTGAGGACAGGCCTTCCTGTTACCTGTGATGTCATTAATCAATCACATGATCAGGAGACACTTCGGTTTCTTTATGGACGACGACTCGTGTGACGGACAGCTCAGGATGCTGCCGCCGTGCTTCGCTTAGCGCCGCCGCCAGAGCCTTCAGGAAAGACATGAGGGTGAGACCTGGTCCAGGTTCAGGTCCGGATTAAGATCCAGATATTTTATGGTTTGATTTTTTTCATCCAGATCTTGGATTTGTTGTGATTGGCTGAACTGGCCGACAAAGATGTTTTTTTTAATTGATCTTATAAATCATAAAATAACTAAAAAAGATAAGAAGCACAGATTTCCACAGATAAAAACAATGTGTAACACCAAATATCAAATAAAGCTGAGGAAATATGAAAACGTAATCACAGACCTGAATTCTGATCCGACAGAAAGCAACTGATTTAAAATCATTGATCGGTCAAAGTGCTCCTCAAGAAACGAAGCTCAGTTGAGTTCAGACTGAAAGTGCTCGGCAGTATTTAAAACGTTACCTCGTCGTGGTCGATTTCTGTGTCTCCAGAGATGACGATCCGTTTCTCGATTCTTGTTTCAGAAATTCCTCCTTTTACTGTCTGAAGAGAAAAAGAGAGAAAATGGTTCTTCTCATTTTCTCACCTTTCTGTGATGCATGTGTTACCAGGGTGACGTGTGTGTAACCATGGTGATGTGTTACCAGGGTGAAGTGTTACCAGGGTGACGCGTTACCTTGGTGACGTGTGTGTAACCATGGTGATGTGTTACCTTGGTGACGTGTGTGTAACCGTGGTGATGTGTTACCGTGGTGACGTGTGTGTAACCGTGGTGATGTGTTACCTTGGTGATGTGTGTCGTGGTGCTGGTGTTAGACGTCTCTGCGGTGAACGTCTGCGAGCTCAGAACTCGACCTGCAGGCAGATCAGACTCCACTCGGCTCTGAGAAACATGAACATTAAGGTCAATCAATAATAATTAATACTCTGAAGATTTGTTTGTGTTTCCTCAAACTATTTTATTGTTGTTAGTTTTGTGTTCAAGTCCGTTTATATAATGTGTGAATATATATTAGATTTAAGATAAAGATGAATAAAATTGAACTCACCCCTGGAGCTTCGTACGTGAGAGTCTTCCTCATAACTGGGACCTCCTGAAATGTTCA